TGGAATCAACTTACATTATTTGACACTGATAAGAAGATATTCTCAGGTTTATATTTGCATTACCTTTTAAAGCCCTAGATCTCAAAATATTATTTTAAATTTGTGTGTGTGTTTGTATACTATAGACCAATAGATATAATTATTATTAATAGTATTCATTACTTACATGTCAGATACTACTCTAGGCTCTACAGCCTATATTTTTTCTTGCTCCTTTGCATCCCAAAGCAAACTTTTAAGGTTTTAATTTTCCTTTTTGCTGAGGGAACTAAGGTATGATTACACAACCAATTAAATGGCAGAGCTGGAATTGGTACTTAGGTTTCTGTGACTTCAAAGCTAGTGCTTTTCTCAAGACCCTAAACTATCTCCTTAAGTAAATAAAAAGTAAAATAAGACAAAATGTTATAAGTATCAATATATAGGCAAATAATTATTTTGCATTATTTTATGTATCTATATACTTATCAAAAATATCTATTCAACTCTGACCTTGTTTTCTTCTTTTTGTTTTAAGTATTCATCAAACTAAACATTTTTAAAGCTACTGATATAAGAAAATTAGCTCACTCACAAATGCACAGGTTCTTAGAAAGAACAATTACATGTGAGCTAGGAAATAAAAATGTGTATGCATATGTGAATGAGAAATGAATAAATGAAAGAATGAAGGGAGGATTATGTTTTTGTCAAGTTTCTTGTGAATAAGAAAGAAAGTTTTTAAAAAAATTGGTTGTCAAAATATTTGTTGGATCTATTCAAAGAGAAATGTACAAGGGCATGGACTAATGATTGCACACACCAGATGGACAATTGAGCATTTGCGTAGCAGTAAATTTTATTTATAAACAGCAAGAGGCCCACATCCTTACTCAATATTCTTGTGGATATGAGCTAAAGAGAGTAAATCTTCCACTTACAGGTCACAAAATTCATTTCAAATTATACTTTGTATTTCTCATGAAGAATTGTCACTAATCAAAAAACAGTTTTATAATCTAAGTGAGTAATAACTTAAAGTCGATTTTCTAGTGTGTGTGTGTTTGTGTATATGTGTTTTAAGCTGTAAGTGTAGTTAGCAGTGTGCTTTTTTAGTGTAGAAGGACTATTACCATGAAACCTGTGGAGTTTGACTTACATGATAAAGTAATATAAGGGAAAACCCTCAGCCAGCCTTCTAGAGAAAGAAAGAATTATAAGGCTAGAAGCTGATGTTACCAATATATATCACATTATTTATAAGAGAAAGGGGATTAATTGCTTCACTGACACTGATTCTAGTGATAGCTTCAGGAAAAATGAAGAGAACGTTGTGTCCCTGTAGTGTAATCACTCCTAGTCAGTCAGCCCCAAGTCTTATCAAATGGAATCACTGAGACCCTTTATTAGATTTCTGTACTCCTTGTGTCGGGCAAAGAAGAGTTTTATTAAAACTCTGATAAATGGCAAAGATTTACATAAATTTCTGAAAGAGAAAAGTGGAAAGAAAACACAAATTTGAAATTTATAGTTAAGAATAAAAGAACTAGTAACTGGATGTAATTTTTAAAATGTTGAACTTTAAAAGGACACGGAAAAAGGAAAAAGTTATTTCATGGATTAAAATGTTAATAGTAAAATACTTGTCTAGACTTTATCTATTTATTGACCTCTAGTCAGAGAAGATTCACTCAGTTGGGAACACAAAGACTTAATTTTAATAATAATAATAATAGAGTAATAATCATATGAGCAATGATAATAACTAAAATTTATCAAGTGCTTCCTGTGTTCTTTCCTTTGTGGCATCTAATTTTTCCATCTAACCATATGAATTCAATAGTGTTATTACACCATTTTAAGGAAAATTTCTGGTGGCAAACCACAGGTAATGACCACTCTTGAAGAATTGGCCATATATTTTCCCAGATGAACAGAAATAGGTTCTGGAAAGAGTATCTAAGGATCCTGAAAGATTCTTCCATAGTGTTTTCCCTTCCTTGAATCATAAACCAAAACCAAAGATAATTCAGAGGTAAATTATTGATACCACTTGTCTTTTCAAAATATTTTGTGGTTAAATTGATAAGACATTTTATTGTACCTTTTCACATTTTCCAAGCTACTTTTGCTACATTATAGCTGTCTTTCTCATCTACAACCCTTAAGGTAGATAAGTACTGTTGTCATTACATGGAAGAAAATGTTCCTTGGTGATTAAGAGATATAGTGTCACAATGACTGAGTTTGTAACCTGACTTTCTCATTTACTAGTTAGGTGCATTTGAACAAGTTGTTTACACCCCTCCATTTTCTCAGTATAAAAATAATAATGAGAGTAACTATACCATGGGTTTGGTATAAGGATGAGGTGAAATCGTACTAGCAAGGTGTTTAAAATTTAATAAATGCTCAAGGCATATTAGTTCTTATTAAACCTATTTTCCAGTTGAACAACCTGAGGCATGGAGTTCAAAGTCATAGATAGAGTGTCAGACTAAAAATTCATAATATGACTTTTAGTTCAATCTTTTTGTTATTTCCACTTCTCATGTCAATTATCCCCAGTCTTGACTTGCAGATCTCAAGCCAAGCCAAGGAATTATTTCAAGGACACTTAAGTTCATATGCAGTAATAACAATAGAAATAATAATAATAGCAACCCACATTTACTGAGCACTTATTGTGTGGTAATCACTGTGTTAAATCTCTTACACTATCATCTCATTTAATCCTCAAAATCCTATTAGATAGATGTTATTACTTCCTCCTTTCACAGATAAGGAAGACAAGGCCAATAATATTTCAGTGGTCAAGTAACTTCCAAATGATGCACAGCTAGTAAGTTCTCAAGCCAGGAATCAAATTCAGGCAGTATGGCTTCAAAGCTCAAGTCTTAACCATTTACCTTTATCTATCTATTAACTAAATATGTAAACTGACAGTCTTTTACCTACCACTAGAGTTTATCATATCCAAAAGTTGGTCACACTACACTTCCCTTCACCATTCTATTATTAAAGATTCCAAAATGCAGTGTGTTTTTCTAAGCATACATTCTTCCATGTTTAAAGCATTGGCTAATTTAAGAAACCTATGCTCGCTAATTGTTCCTGGAGTATGTAAGGTAAACTACCACCACATATCTAAGAATAGTCTCATTAAATGGAATTATTGTCTTTCATGCCTGTAATTATCTAATTGTCTTTCATGCACTCATTTAGGGTGTTAAAATGATATTTGCTTTGATTTTATGCTTTCCTTTGGCATGCATATCTGACTTTTATTGAATATGTATAATTTATGCTTCTCCATTTTGCTTTTCAATTATAATTACAAGAAGTAGAATAAATGTACACCTTAAATCAAGTTTAATCCCTATTTAAATGCAGACTGTATTAGATTAGATCAGGGGTCCTCAAACTTTTTAAACAGGGGGCCAGTTCACTGTCCTTCAGACCATTGGAGAGTGCGCACTGTGTGCCCAGGACAAGTCGGCTGCTAAGCAGGACAGACAGCGGGAGCAAAAACACCTGGAGGGCGGGATAAATGTGCTAGGCAGCCCGCACGTGGCCCGTGGGCCATAGTTTGAGGAGGCCTGGATTAGATGATATCCAAGATTCTGATACTAAGATTGTATACTTCATTGTTTAAATTCACATCTTTTAAAAAAATATAAAATATATTCCTGTGGTTCAGAAATTTTAAAGGTACCAAAGAATATTAACTTAATGAAGAATCTTCCACTCTTGCTTCTTTCTAGCCACCCCATTCACCTTCCCTTCCCACAAGCAACGTATATTAGGTTCTTATTACTCTTCCTAGATATATTTACATACATAAATAAAATACATTTATATATTTATATCTCCCCTTGCCTGCTTTCTTTATATATACTTAAATGAATTATGTGATAGCACACTTCACATGACATCCTGTATCATGTTTTATTATTGAGATTGCTCCAAATTGGTACTAAAGAGTTCCCTGTTTTCATTTTATAGAAGCACATTATACTTTTGAATGAACCATAACTTTTAAACAGTCCTTTATTAATGACCATTAGGTTGTTTCCAGTCTTATGCCATTACAAATGAGGCTGCAATGAGTAATCTTGCATAAACATCAATTTACACACGTGGGAGCATATCACCTCAGTAGCATAAATTCTTAGAATGATGCATCAAAGCGCATTTGTATTTGTAATTTTGATAGATATCACCAAAGTTCTCCCAGAGAAGTTGTCCCAATATGTAATCATTACTAAATATGAGACCATCTCTACTAGTTTTTGCACTGAAGCTGGGGGCAATGTTAGCATTTATGTTTCATGCTTCAATAAAGTCACACGTTGCACATTCTGATGATACTGGCAGGTTGCTCAGCACAAAAGTCAAACAATTATGAACCCTAATTTTCAAAAAAATACATTGTCTATGAAAGCACTAACAATGAGGAAAAAAAGATTTTTTTAAACAGTTGCCTAGATTCTAAAACAATAAATATATACTCAAAAGATCAATGTAGTTCTTGGAAGATAAGTTGTAATTATCAAAGAAGATAATTTTGGGGGATTGTAGAAAATCTCATTTACTTCAATAATTTTATTTTCCTAGAATTATTATTTTTTAAAAACAATTGATATGGCACCTTAATTTCAATTTTTTTAAAAGCTTTAAAAAATTGCAAATGGCAGAGTCTCTGCCAAAAACATTTTGTAAAATCACCTCTTGAGAGCCTACTACATGGCTTGACTTCTTTATAAACATTATATGATGTGATTTGTCCAATAACTCTATGAGGTTAATGGTATTAATGTCTATCCAAATTTAGGGACCAGAAAACTGTGGCTCAGCAATATTAACTAGCTTAAAATGACATAACTAATAAGTGCTAGGCAGTAAGTAAATAGGTAAAAATTTGCCACAAATTAAGTAGAAAGAAAACATCATTGAATGAATAATTAAATATGTAATAGATATATAATCCATGGTATAGCTACCTAAAGCAAATGTCTTACCTCAAAGGCAAATGACAAAGAAGGGACAAGAGGTTTCAGGTGACCGAATCTATACAGCATTAAGAATACCAAGCAACGAAGAGTTTCCATAAAAGCTGCCTTGGGTCTGAAATAAAACGTTATTAACACACATTAGCTTTAAATATGCTCTCCTCATGTTTACATGTTATAGTTGATATTGTGATCAACTTTTAATTTCAAAAAATACGTAGTATTTTAATATATTTAAGAAGCATGTGCCTCCAAAGAGGTTTGAAAACAAGCATTAGACTAAGAAGGAAAATGCATCTTTTAAAAGAAAATCTGTTCTTTTTGAAGATACTGCTTAATTTGAGCATTTAAAAGTTAAAATGAAGCTAATTGTCAGCTAATAAATAAAATATTAGACAACTAAATTTCTGGGGTATAGAATGAGACTTCCCTTACTGACTCAATGCCTTTATACTTCATTTGTTAAAAAAATCACTACTTAGAACCGATATAGTTAACTTCTCCAAAATGATGAAGAGTCAAATATCAAAGTTTCATATTTATTTTAGAAGCTACACTGTGAAGTTCCATAATATAATGATATTTTGCCACTCTGTGGAAATTCTTAAATTGAGTAAAAGAGAAAAAGAGTGAAAGAATTTTATTTCTTGCCTTTGATCCAGAAGAAATCCAATGGAAGTCAAAGTCAGGATGATGAAGCAAATCCTCAAAAGGAGAGTCACTTGTGACAGGGCCTGTCAAACAAGCACAAAGATCAATGGATCCTTGAGGAAAGTTGGTAGAGGGAACATTAGTAGTTAAAGCTGACAAGAAAATAGCCCAAATTTTATTTTCTATTACACCATTTGTCACTGACCCTTTTCAAAAAGGTTGACTATGCAGAGAACATTTTGGTTTTCTTAATGCCATTTAGTTATCTTTTTGGACACTTGGAGAATGACTTAGACAATTTTATAATAATACATTGCTTCAAGTGTTCTTTCTAAAAATCTTCCTTTAAAGTTGTCACTTCCATAACATTTTAAAGCCTGTGAGCACCCAAGTACAGAGAAAGCACTCACATTTTTATGTATAAATACTATATTACAAAAGCTATTTTTAATGTCACCAAGTCTTTGTGGTTTCAAATCCAAAGCTTTCTTTAATACAGAAAATATTTAAAAAACAGTGTATTTAGGAGTGCAAACACATATATGAAAGAGATCACACTGATATTTAATTCAATCCAGATATTCATATATACATGTTAAAAGTTATTTTTGAATCATCATAACAAACACATATTTTCTGTCAGAATTATAAATTAATTATGCATTTAGTCCACATGTCAACATTTGATAATAACAATTATCGGACATCTTCCATTTTACATCTTCCATGCTATGTGTTTCTTACTCTTTAATATGTTTATATTGCCCAAAATGTTGCAGAGTAGGTGCCATTATATCTGCTTTATAAATTAAAAACTGGTAGTCAAAGAATTATGTAACTTTTCCATCATTACATAGAATCATGCCTTTTAAAGTCCAAAAAGGCCTGTCTGACCCCAAAGCATAACAATAAAAGAATACATATGAGTAACAGACTTAGAGGAGCTGGTGGCAGAAATCTGAATTGAGATAAATAACATAGCCAAGGCATTGAGCCAGGTGAATACAATTTTAGACTGAACATGGATCAGTAAACTCAAGGGGTTGGATGATACACATCCCCTAGAGGAGAATCCTGCTCACTGAGGGTTCCTAAGGTTCATCTTTATCAGAATCCCAAAGATATGATGTAACACACTGGCTAAAGTAGTGACCAAAACATTTTGCAAATACTCCTTTTTCCTGAAATAACTACAGGGAATTTCAACTAATTGTTAGCTAATATTCCTACCTACAACTAAATTGCATCTATCCAAAGTTATGAGAATAAGCAAAAGTCACCAGCTGCAATTTCTACTCCCATGCAGAACCTCAGCTCTATACTATCTTATAAACCAGCTCTAACTGGTGTGGCCAACTTCCTGGAATGGCAGCCAGAATTGTCAAGGGGTTTTAAACCCTCCAAAGCAACAATTTAATAGGAAAGTATTGCTGAGTCGTCAAAAAAACTGAATGAAATGTGTCAGAATGTTTAGGAATAGGGGGACAGCTGTCTGTGTCAGATATAGAATAGGGAGCTCAGTGAAAACCAGAAAGTTGTAGTGGAGAGAATGAGAGTGTTATTTGGGTGGATGTCAATAATGGCTGCTTTGGGACAGCGAGGCAAAAAATACCAGAAAAATATTTTCTTAGTGGTACAAGTAATTAAGGTGTGCTTCAGTAAACTAATGTTCCATTAAGGGAAACATTTTGTGTCTAAAGAAAAATGCTTCTATCACCACATTGATACATTTTGATTCTGAGGGGAAAAGTTCATATAGAAGGGAGAAATGGTTTGTGCCAAAAAACTATAGTATGATTGAAAATACCTTATAAAAACATACAAGTTATGTGAACCTATCAGCCAGGTAATCATGGGCCAATTATTTGACATTTCTAAAGCTCAGTTATGTGTTCAGAACATTTGAAATAAAATATGAGTTTGCAAGGACTGTAATAAATACTTAGAATAGTGCTTGGCACAAAGTAAAAAGTCAACTAATGATCATCATTAGTATTACCGTTACTATGTTCAGGGTCTTATGCTAATCTTAATTATAATAACATAAGTGAAAAATATAAATAGAAGGTCTATTAATCCTTGGAAATATAAGAAACTCAGAGAGGAAAAATATATCTTTTGTTTTGGTTATGGAATTTATGATGTATGGACAAAAGAAAGAACTCCTCTTTCTGAAATTACCTCCTAACTACTGGGATCAGAGTGCAAATCAACTTAATATGGGAATCCAGCTGCTTAGTCAACACCTCTGCTTGGCTAATAGACATCTGAAATTTGACACGTCTAAAAGATTGCATTTGATCTCCTCCTCCACACCACACTTTCCCCAGTTTTCTTCATCTTAGGAAATGGCACCTCTAATTCATCAATTGCTCAAGACAAAATCTTGGGATTCATCCTTGACTCTTTTTCTCACTGTCTGTTCCTAATATAGCAGAGACAAATGTTGCTAGTGTATTTAAACTATATCCATATTGAAGGTATTTGTTACAAACAGCACAATTAATACCCAGCTTTGCCTCAACATGATCTCCACCACAATTGCTGAAATGCTCTCCTAATTGCTCTTCCCATTTCTCAAATTGCCTGTCCACCTATCATGACCCCTCCCCCAGTCTGCAGAGTTGTACTTGTAAAACATAAATTAGATCATATCACTAATATTCTAAATCTTCCAGAGACTGAAAATCTCACTCATAATAAAGCTCAAAATTCTTACTCTGGTCTACACACAAAATCCCGATTTTATTCACTAGTAATCTCTCTCTTTCACTCTCAAGCCATATTAGAAATTTTGCTATTCGTGGAACAAAAGCATATTTCCCACTCAAGTCTGTTTTACCTGCTGTCTCTTGTGGTTGGAAGGATTTCCCCCAGAGATCTCATGGTTCATTTCATTCAGATCTCTATTCAAATACACGTCCTTGTCCATCCTATCTAAAATAGTACTTCTCTGTAATTCTCCATGACCATTTTCTGTTTTGTTGTTCTCCATTTGACTTACCATTTCCATACATTTGATGTTTGCTGTGTCTTCTCTACCTGCTTGTTGTCTGTCTCCTCTCACTAGAATGTAAGCTCCGTGGGAGTTTGTATCTATTTATTCACTGTCATATTCCAAGTGCCTGGAATATTGCCTGGCATACAGTTAATACCCAATATACATTTGTTGAAAGGCTGATCAAATGAATGAATATTTATATTTGTGCTTTAATATTAATAATGTAAAGGTAAAAATATTTTAATTATATTATTGAGTTAATAAAAACTTTAATGTATTATTGAATATTTAAATTCCTTAAACTTTAAAATAAATTCAATTAAATGATTTACTCAATAATTTAATATAAAATTATTAAATGTTTTGAAATATTAAATATTTAAATAATAAATACTTTAATATTCATTTTTTATTCCTTAAAAAGCAGAATTATCCCAATAAAATGTTTGAGTTTAAAGGAGACTAAGAGTATTAAAAGAGGTAATTCAATATAGAATACATATGATTTCTTTTGAGTCTATTTTTCTATGGAACTCTTAAGTTTTCCAATATGGCATAATTTGATAGGTTAATAAGGCATATAATCAATTGATCTTCTCCAAATTTTACACATTCATTCCATGAATATTCATTGAGCATATTCTGGATACTGTGGTAAATATGAGTTTAAGAGACTGTGCAAAAAGAACAAAATTTCTGCCCTTGAAACATAGCATCTTAATTCTTGTTGATAGGACCATAGACCAGGTACACTAAAGCCAAAAGGAAAAAAAGATGGAATAGATTTTATAGGATTTGACCACTATAGTCTCCTGTGTTTTAAACAATATATGAAGTCACATATTCCTTGTTAGATTTTTATAACAGGAAATATTCTCATTTTCACTGGGTTTGCTCCCATTTCATATCAACTGCTGGTGTATCTTTCACATAAAATATTTCTATACTAAAGTGCTAAAATGGAATTATTCTAAATTAACCTTCGGATATATTATCAATCCTTATCACAAAAAGCATATGAGGAAGGTTGTAACCATAAAAGCTTTAAGACTCAAGGAATTACGTTTCATGTTTTGAAATTATCTTCCAAATCCCAAACAATTTGGCAGCACTTATTTACATAGGTTTCCCAGTGCAGGAATCATGTTCCAGATTTGCAGTCCCAAAAATACCCAAAGAACACTACCCACCTGAAACTTTCTCTAAGTAGAAGGGAAAAAATACTGAGGAAGAGACATTGCACAGGAACTACAGATTTACATGTTTGAGGCAATGTTGTTTAAACAACCAATGAACATATAGGAATCCTTCTTTTGCCCACAGATATTATAAAGAAGAAAATTCTTTTGTTATTGAAGAGGGTGATCAACATAAATTCCTTTCACATTTTTCCACTCAACTAACCTCACAAAGGGAGATTTCAACCCCATTCACTATGTCCTAAAATAATAGGGTGCCTCTATATAAAAGATTTCTCTTTTTCTAAACTTTATGCATTGTCAAAGATTATTTGATAATATATTTTCCACTGTAATAATGGAAATATATATTTTCCATTGTTCTAAGGATTTAGAAATGAAAATGTCTAGATATTACAATCATGTAATGCATTTTTATTAGTTTCTCTAATAGGTGTCTGACAAGAGCTACTGAATTTATTGTTTTGATTCAAAATGCTCATCTTCCCAAATATCTGTAAAATGAGGTTAGTATTGCCTCATACTTAAACCTCTAAATCCTCTGATGTGAAGGCAGCAGATTGAATTTGCTGGGGCACCTGTATTGCTATCTTCATCAGTCCTATAGCTCTAGGGGCTCTACCTGCCAGATGCTTTGAGCTTCTGGATTTGTCATGCTGAGTCCCTAAGGCCTGAAGATACTTTCTGGTGTTACAACATAAACACAGAAAAAGAGCACAATGTAACACCATAATGCAATTTATCATTCTTTGTGAGTCTCAAGAATCTGTCTTGAAATAATATCTCACTCTTTAAAAAGCTGTCAATATTGATTATCCTTCTCTTCCTTAAACTTTTAGAACTCCCTAGATGGCTACTATTGAAGCAGCATAAAAAGAATATA